AAATATTTCTGAAAAAACGCTTATGAAAAACTATTTTTTAATTTAGTGCCTTTTCTTCATGGGTAGACCATCACATTAATTAAATTTGGAACACTAAAACACTAAGGGACAGAGAAAGATTATTTGAGAACTTAAGAAAGAAAACCTTAATGTTTTTCAGAAAATAAAATTATATTTCAAAGCAGTCCAACATTTAAATTGACTTCTCAATTGTCTTGGTCATTTCTATTATTTTATTCTCTTTTTTTTTCTCCAGGACTTTGTAATAAAATGCTACATGTTGTATATGTTGCATGGATATCAACTTTTACAAGAAAGTAGGGTTTGGATTTCTGCCTGTTAGTAATTAATACATCTCTATGTTGGGGTTTCATTTAACCTAGCATTTATTGGAGAATCCTAAGCATTTTGAGTGTCTGAATGAAGCTCATGTTCCCCTAATGCGTACAAAGATGAGAAGCACTCAGGGATTCATGATTGTCACTTTGATTTTTAAGTAGAAGGTGACCTGTACAAAAATAAGTAACCCCTATTCTGTCTAGAGAAAAAAAAAAGAATTTGATTGAAGTCATCCTCTGTCAAACACATATCATCTTGAAATTTAACATATCTATAATGTTGGAATTAAGTAACAGCCTTGAAAATTAATCAGCACAACTTAAATTTAGTGATTTTTATATTAGATATCTCTGTTACCACAGAAATTATTGATTATGTTCTTATTGGAATGTTGAAATAAATTTACAAGCAGAAGAAAAAACTGGTAAAACTGGTCAATGTCCAATGTCCACATCAACTATATTACACCAGTGATTTGCACTTATATGGATAAATATTATTTGCCTTACAATTATTTTTATACTAGTTAACTTTTATCTGTACTGAGTTGTAAAATAGTATTCTCAAATAAAAAGTGAAAATAAACTATTTGAATGAACTAGTCAGAGCACCCCCAAAATTACAATGTTGGACATTTTTTCTTTACCTCCTCTATCCATCTGATACACTCTTCAGACACATTGTGTAGGAAAGAAAAAATACATGAGGAACTGTGGAAATCTTACCCAATTGCTCCTGTTTGAAGCATATGGCATGTTTTCTAAGCTAGATAGATGTTTGAACACTCTCTCGAGAACATTTGTGAATTTTCTAGAGCCCCCAGTTGCTGACACATGTCAGAGCAATTTCTTTAATGGAGTAATGTGTTATGTTCTGGATGTTAACTTTCTCTTTGTTCTGCATTCTAGAAATCAGGAGATACTCTCTGCTTCTCTTTGTTGAGATGTATTACTCTTTTTTTTTTTAAATAGGTCCTGAGTAACTAAAGGAATCTTTCCATCAGAGGACCCACAATTAGTTCATGGCAAATGAAACTCCACCTCTTGCTTGTTTTAGTAGCTATTTGCTGCTGTAACTAAAGGACCTGACCATAGCAATTTTCGGGGAGAAAAAGTTTATTACAGGGCTCATGGTTTCAGAGGTCTTAGTCCACAGAAAACTGGTTCCATTCCTTGGGGCTCAAGGTGAGGCAGAACATCATGGTAGAAGAATGTGACAGAGGGAAACAGCTTACATGTTGATCAGAAAGCAGAGAGAGACTCCACTTGCCAGATGCAAACATATATACCCTATACCATACCCCCAATTCCTACCACCTCCAGCCACACTCTACCACTTTAGTTAACACTCAGTAAATTCTCATCAGGGGAGTAACTCACTGATTAGGTTAAGACTATGACCCAATCATTTCTCCTCCAAACCTTGCATTGTCTCACTTGTGAGCTTTAGGGGAACATGTCACATCCAAACAATAACATGTTTTAATGAACTTGGGATTTCAGATCTCCTGATGAACCCACTTGAATTCTAGCCCTTCTATAAGTGTTTTGCAATCTAATTGATCATCTTTTATATTACTCACCTGGAATTCAGTCATACCTGTGTCTTTACTGCAGGGGTCACATGTCAATATCTTCAAACACTCCCTTTTAAGACCTACTTCCTTCAATGGATGGTGTGCGTGATGGTGGTGCAGGGGGTGAGACTCACTGAATACCACTGATTCTCAACAAAAACAGTGTCTATTAATTAATCTTCATTCTCTGTTCTCTTGGCTTTAAAATCTTTTTTAATTGCTGGAGAAATGTGTCTTGGAGTTGAAAAACTGATGTTGTGATTTCTGCTTTGGAAGTCTTGAATAATAGTGCAACTTATAGATATGCATTCTGTAGTTTTAGTGCTTGATAAAATCAGAGACTGGAAGAGTTCTACTTTTCACATTTTAGACATGAAAATACTCCACTGTGACCTTAATCTCTAGGTTTTCATTTGTGACCTTTGGCTTGTCAAATGAAACCAAATTTGAAACGTAGATAAGCAGACACATTATTTGGAAGAATATTGCAATAAGGGGAAGGGAGGTATTGCCAGTAGGGAAAAGGATTGTATTTTAGTGGGGAGGCAGCTATGATCTTGAGATCTGCAAATTTCATTGAGGTCAGACATAAAGGCACTTTCTTTATTTTAGGCAGGAGTAAATAAAGGTAGAAAAAAACCTTGGTGCAGCTAATTAGTATGATCAGAAGGTAGAATGATCTGACTTTTGAACAAAAAAAAATTCCCTGGAGGGGAGGATCTGTTAAGGAAGTGTTATTTCACACCTCAGGCTGTTGCTGGCGTTGGCACAGTAAGTCAAAGTGCAAGAACAGGAGAAAGGAAAGAAATCTAATATTGGTTAAGTCAAGTTAGCAGGTGCTTTGTCTAGATTGGTCAATGGGTATAAACAGTCCAGCTATTCACTTATAAAGCAAAGAAGGGAAATTTGGAGATCTGTCAGGCCTTGTCATGGGTAAATATGAGGGGCATCCATGAATCTTATGTAAGTTATATGGGAAAGGCTGGTTGTTTGCAGTTAAGCTATTTGGGAAACAGGAACAGGTAGGGAAGCTTAACTGTGGGTGTTTTTTCCATGAGGACAAGGCTCATATCACTTCTCGTGATTCGTGTAATCTGACCAACATATCTGTTAGCAAATTTTCTCTAGTTGTGTATGTCAAGAGATAAATTAATGAGATTTGTTTTCTTTTGGAAAGTGACAAAACCAAAAAGGTTTGTATGCAGTTTTTCAAGGGACACTGGAAACAAAATTGTCCTTGGCAGCTCTATTTCTGAGGAGGCACACAAAGCTTTAGGTTCTTGAAACGGGGCCATGTAGCTGAAAGCTTTATCACATCTTTCTTAAGAGGCCCCATGTGAATCATTCCAGGAAGTTCTAAGTCTGTGAAGAATATTATCACTTTAAAGAAACTAGAAATCTCCCTAAAGTCTATCCTATTAGTCTGATCACTGGACTGGAAGATAGAACTCCAGTGTTCTATTTACAGCTTTAATGGGAATTTGCTGTGATCACTTGAGGTCTCCCTTGTCTCAGTCTCCATGTTCCTATAAGTTCTTTACAAAAGATATTTCAAAAGCTCTTTAAAATAGAGGCTGTAAATTCAGCAATAAACATTGCATGTATGTCCGCAAAAGCAAACACTGATCTATTGAAAACTTACTGAATGTATGTTTATTAAAGCCTATATAATTTATAAAAGGTGGAACGAAAACTTTTTATCAAGAGCTTATTATATTCCAGGCTTTGTTCCAAGATCTTTGCATGTAATTTTCATTTAACACTGGCAATAATATTTGGAGATTAATCTCATTATTACTTCAGTTGTACACAAGAGTTACCTACAGGAAAGAGAGGTTGAGTAGTGGCTCAAGTTCATGTACTGGAGAAGGGAAATCTTATATTTGGCTTCACTTCATTTATTTTCTGTTGATATAATAAAGGGCCTAATCCAATTAGAGCTTCAATCAACTTGCTAAAAGCTTCCATACATAAAGGTTTTAGTATATCAATCTCTGCACCAAAAAAAAGAAAGAAAGAAAATTATTTGAATGAGAGAGTCGAGCGTCTATAAGTTGAAAATTTATAATTAAATTTCACCTCTACTTAGAAAAATTTCCTCTCACCTAAAAATATTCTGAATCGATGCACATCTTTATAATTGATATTTCCAGTAATTAATGTTATGGCGAGTAATATTATTTTACAAGCCACTCTTTGGAGGGTTAATGAGGATAGCGTTAGCCTATAATTCAGTCTTAAGATAATTCTAGAGTAAATGGGAACATTATGTGTTAATAGATTCATTTATCACAGCACTCCAAAGCCTGATAGTTCATACAATACCCCATTCTGTCTATTTGTCTTGCTCCTGCCAACACACATAAAACATGGTGCACTTGTGAGTTTATGAAATTATATTGAAGGGTTTATCATTAAGTATTGTCTTTTCTGGTAACTTCTACACATGATGGGTACATAATTAAGGTAATTATCACTTTTAGAATATAAAACAATTGACTTCCCTTTACTGGAAAGATCAAACAAAATTTGGAGGCTTGAAATTGTCTAGATAATCACCTCTTTCCTATCTTGCAAATGTAAACGAAAATGAATCAAAGCCTGAAAAATAGAAAATACGTCCCTGAAATTTATGACACCATTTAATTCAAGACAGCAAATCATTCTTGAGTTCTTTGAGGTGTTTTTTTTTTTAAGAAATAAAACTTTTTGAAAATTATGGTCACATTGAACACATTGTAGGCAGCAGTCTTTGGATTCAATGTACCCCAGAGCAAAACGTGGCCCTGAAAGTACTCTAAGGAAGTGTGAAAGGTGAAAATGAATTTCCTACACTAGGCCCTGTGTTCTGCTTTCCAGCATTTGTTTCTTGAATGTTTAGAGCCACCGTGCTTCTTTAGGAAGTTTAGAACCTTCTAGTTGCTTAGAAAAAGAAAGATGTGATAAGTTATACTTCATGGCTGAACCAGTAATACAACTGAATTTGATAATACTCTTTCCTGGCAATGATTTATTGGTATATAAGAGAAACTCTTGCCTTTCATGCTGACCAGTTGGTCCAGAATATCTTTAGAACATGGAGGATTTAGTAAGCTTACTGACTGACAGAAAGGGCATCCTCATGTCTGTAGTTAAACCTTAATAGTTTAGTTGGGGGAAGGGTTCAATAAGAATAACACAGTGTAAGACCTTCCTTCAAGGAAGGGAAATATTTATTCTTAGAGCTAAAGTTCTGGATCATTTGGCAATTAATTAATGTACTGAAAGCTTTGGTGAACTATTCTAAATAAGAAAAACAGAAAAGGAGTTTTTGATAATTAACATTCCATAGTTAATGTCAGATACCATAGGGTTGAGGTTCACTTTATACCGTTTGCAGTAACCTAATTTTTTGCCAAGAAATATTTTGTGATCTGTATAGACATTAGAACACACATATAAACTTTTATTATTATGAATACTAACAAATTTATAGTTCTCATATTCTTTCCTTGGTGATCATATAATCTCATATAACAGAAAGGGTTCTGGCTAGGAGTAATTAAATTAATGAACTAATTTGATAATTGTCCTCTGAGCAGTTTGATACAAGTGCATCAGGCTCCAACTGGCCTACCATTATATTTATCCCTTCAGCTTAAATTTCTATTTTTGTTTCAAAGTACAGCTCACAGGCCTTTTCTCCAGGATGCCTTCTATCCTTAATCCATGTACTCATAGTCTGGGACCCCAAAGCCCTTTTCTTTCTCTAACCCCCATTCTGTTATAAAATTTTTGTTTGTTTCTGCACAAAAAAATATTTTGATTTTATGGATCATGCAAAGTTGTTTTTCTATTATAATACAAACAAGGCTTAAATTAGAAGTCATCTGCCAATATTGCCACATTTCCTTAGCAGTCTCCTTGGCTTAAAACTCCAAGAAACATTCCAGGAATTAATCATCATTTATTTGGGATTCATTTCCACATAATTATACAAGCATGGAACACAGTTTACTCCAGTTCTGTCCCCAGCATATCCCTGTTTCCTCCCTTCCTCCCTCCCCCTTTTCCTTTTCCTCTACTGAACTTCCTTATACTTATCTATAGATTTTTTTTTAGATTACTGCATTATAGATTTAGATAAAAGTGAAATTCACTGTGGTCTACTCATATATGTACAAAGAAAAAGTTTGGTCTGACTCATTCCACCATCCCTCCCTTTTCCCCTACCCGCTTCCCCAATAAACCCTGAATCCTCTTCCACTTCTCCACTGATCTCTCTTCTATTTTCATGAGATTTCCTCCTTCCTGCACTTTTTATTCCTTATTTTGGTTTTCTTTCTGCATAATAAAAGATTTGACCATTAACTTTCTGAGTCTGGCTTATTTCACTTAGTATGATGATATCTAGTTCTATTCATTCACCAGCAAATGCCATAATATCATTCTTCTTTATGGCTGAGTTAAAATTCCATTGTTTATGTATACCACATTTTTTTTCATCCATTTATCTGTTGACAGGTATATTGGCTGGTTCCATAGCTTGGATGGATATTGTGAATCACATTGTTAAGAACACTGATGCTGCTGTATCCTTATTGTGTACTGATCTTAGCTCTTATCCCATCATAGAGTGAGAGAGCTGGGTCATACAGTGGTTCCATTCCTGGTTATTTTGAGGAATTTCCATACTGCTTTCCAGAGTGGTTGTACTAATTTGCAGTCCCAGCAAACAATATATTAGTGTATCTTCTATCCCAATTTCTCAGCAACATTTTTATTTGTGTTCTTGACAATTGCCATTATGACTGAGGTGAGATACAATTTCAATGTAGATTTGATTTGCATTTCCCTGGTTGCTAGAGTTGTTGAACATTTTTTCATGTATTTGCTGGTCGTTTTCATTTCTTCTTTTGAAAAATGACTCTTTAATTCTTTTGCCCATATATTGGATTATTTGATCTTGAGATGTTAAGTTGTTTGAGTTCTTTATATATTCTGTATATTAATTCCATGAGGATCAGGTAGCAAAGGTCTTCTACCATTCTGTAGGGTTTTACTTCATGTTCCTCTTTGCTGTTCAGACGCTTTTTAATTTGATGCCATCTCACTTATTGATTCTTGGTTTTATTGCTTGCACTTTAGAAGTCCTGTTAGGAAGAGTCTTAATTAGGAAATTGATGACTAAGTCAGTATGTTGGAGGGTTGAGCTTACATTTTCTTCTAGTAGTGCAATTTCTGGTCTAATTCCTAGGTTTTTTTTGATACAATTTGAGCTGACTTTTTTGCAGGATGAGACATAGGGATCAAGTTTAATTTTTCTACATATGAATATCTGGTTTTCCCAGCATCATTTGTTAAAATTGATTTCATTTCTGCAACATACACTTTTGACACATGTGTTAAGTATCAGATGACTGCATTGATATGTATTTGTGTGTGTCTTCTATTCTAGTTTACTGATATGTATTTGTGTGTGTCTTCTATTCTAGTTTTGGTTTTGGTACTATGCTATTTGTGTTATCATATCTCTCTAGTATAATTTAAAGTGGTTTTCTTATTATTCTTTCAAATGAATTTGAGAACTGTTTTTGCTAGTTTCTGTTAAGAATGTCATTAGTTTTTGATGAGAATTTGCATTACATCTGTATAATGCTTTTGGTAAGTATGGCCATTTTGACAACATTAATTTTGCCTATTCAAGAACATGGAAGATCTTTCTATCTTCTGAGATCTTCTTCAATTTCTTTCTTCAGTGTTCTGTAGTTTTCATTGTAGAAGTCTTTCATCTCCTTGCTTAGATTTATTCCTAAATTGTTGTTGCTAGATTATTGTAAATACAAGAGCTTTCCTAATTTCTTTTTTATATAATAATTTCTGTAGTACTTGTAAGCAATTCATTTATTTATGATCTTATATCCTGCTACTTTGCTAGATTTGTTTATCAGCTCTAGAATTCTTCTGTTGGAGGTTTAGGGTTTTCTAAATATAGGGTCATGTCATCAGCAAACAGAGATAATTTGACTTCTTCTTCTCCTATTTTCATCCCTTTCATTTCCTTCTTTAGTCTATTACTCTGTCTAGAGTTTCAAGAACTATATCTAATATAGAAGTGGTAGGAGTGGACATCCTTTTCTTGTTCTGATTTTAGAAACTGCTTTTGGATTTTTTTTCCATTCTGTATGGCCTTGGCTTGACCTAAATGGTGTGTCATATGTAGCTTTTACAATGTTGAGGTAGGTTCCACCTCTCCCTAGCTTCTCTAGTGTATTACACATGAATGGTGCATCTCACCTGCACATGAGTGCTACTTCCTGCCATTTTGAATTGTGGGCATCCATTTCTATCTCTGCCTGAGCTCCTGCAGAAGCTGTGCTAAGTGGAGTGGTTCTGTGCCTCCTCGCTGACCTTGATTGTAGTGAGGGGAAGGGGGTTTCAGTGACTTTTGGCTTGTGGTTTCTTTTTTTAGATGGCTTATTGAGACATCTGGTTTAATTTGTTGCTATCTGAAGGTAGACCATGCTGATGTAATTTCTTCTAGGGTGGCTGGCTAGTCGTGGGCTCCACAAAATCGCTACTGTGCCCAGTACCATTTTCAGGCTACAATTTGGGTTGTGCTGCCTGACCTCCTTCATTGGTTCTGATGCTCTAATTTGGTCTTCTTTTCTTTCTAGCT